ATGTATTTAGGGATGAACACCTTCATGTATATATAGCTTTCAATCATCCTTACACGAAGTGGTTCCAACTTAAAAGAAAAGGTGCAATATTTAACCAAAAAACCACCAGAAATTCGAAAAAAAAGTTTCAACCAACAGTCAAATTTTAACGCTATGCGATCCGATAGGCTATAGTCATGCAATCGCATAACTATAAAGTTGGCTGTCCTTTGATTCTCTGAAAATCTATAGGCGACCGAAAGCCTCAAAGGCTTATGTGTTGCTTAAGCCATTTTTATGGTTTGATTTTCTCGATTTATCTACTTCTTTTCTCAATTCATTCTCTTTGATTTTTGAACAATAAGATTACAACAGTTGTTTGTTCGATATCATTATCTTGCAGATTTATTAGGCATGATCTTGGCACGTAAGCAAAGTATAAATTTTGGATAGCGTTGTTTAAAAATGTTTTTTTTTTTTTATTTAATTTTTGCGATGCATGAAATTGAATATCGTTCAGTACGATATGTAATTTCCTTCAAATTTTATGTTTTATTTGTAGTACACATCTGATGAGATTGTGCTGAAAATGTGGAGTACTGATATGTGGACTTTAATAGACGAGTACGCATGTGATCACATGTTTATGTTTATTTTCGGTCGCATTAATGTTCTGTGGGGTCTGATGTTAGCATTCGAGAGGATGAAATTTGATAATTGGTATTAAGGTCAAATATTGTCAAAAGCTCATTTTAGAAATGCTTATTTGTTCGAATTCGTTAGATTTTACAGAGAAATTTTACCGTTCATCAGCGAAAGTCTATTAGGGCATCGTTTGACAGTGATTTTTCATAATAAAAATTTGATTTTTTGACCGTTATTTAATTATTTCAACTGTCATTTTTGACTTCTTCACTCACATGTGGTCCCACTTTTGTTTTTAACGATTAAAATATCGATTCTCAAAATCACTACCAAACGGGCCCTAGATATGCAATTTACGACGTGATTAAAAAAACGATGCACACATTCTACGGCATTGTGCTGACAGTACTCATGTGGCGTAATAGAACGCGACAATTATTAAATATGTACTTCCAATTGCACAGGTCATTTTGTTGTGGTCTTGCCATATGTGCTCTCGTGATCGAAGGTGTAAGTGCAATAAATCTTGTCACTCGTGGCGAAAAGAGCGCACACACATATATTTTCTAACAGCCTAAAGTTTATTCTTCTTTGGCATTTAATTAATCGTAGGTGTAAGTACAATAAGTTTCATTACATCAAAAAGTATGGAGCTACGAAAACATGTCTTGATCTACAATATAAAGTAGGTTAATAGAAATGTATGTTTTGTGACATGAAGAAAATGGGTATTCTTCACAGATTAGAGCTTTAGACGTGGGTTGTGGAAGATGGCTTCTCAAATAATCTATGTAAATTCCCTAAAGTGCATGGAACTACCATCACGATAGTGTTTGGCGGGAAATAAAATTTGATTTTTAGTAGATTTTAATAGAAATTTTTGAAATGTATGGTTAAAAAGTTATAGGACTCATGAAAGATGTAGTTAATATTGATTGTTTGATTTTGACTTAAATGAAAATCAAATTTTAATTTAAACCAAACATACTCTAAATCTTGCCTGCATGATGCGTCCCAACCTCCATCGTGGACAACATCTCGATGGTACATTAATGTTGAAATTCATGCAAAAGAACAACTTAGCCCCCCGTTTGGCAAATAAATTTATAAATAATTTATAAATTCAATCAAATTCAAACATTAATTGTCATCCATTGTTATTCCTATTTATAAATCATTTATAAATTCGTCAAGCAAAGACTTAGACTTTTGCATCCATTTAGAAAACTTTTTCAGCAAAATTTATGACCTGTTTGGTCCCCATTATTTGAAGTTTTAATTTTAGAATAGTTTTTTTTTTTCTTTTTGTGGTTGAAAAGAAGGAGAAGTTTTTGGTTTATGTGTAATTTTATTTTATTAAAAAATGTGTGATTAACAAGAAAAGAGAAAATTGTATTATAAATTTGATGGGACTCAAACCGGAAGAAAAGGGATTTTTTTTTCTTTTTGTGGTTGAAAAGAAGGAGAAGTTTTTGGTTTATGTGTAATTTTATTTTATTAAAAAATGTGTGATTAAAAAGAAAAGAGAAAATTGTATTATAAATTTGATGGGACTCAAACGGGAAGAAAATAGAATTTCTAGTAGCTTTCTCCATAATCAACGCTACAAATAATGGATCACGATAGCCCCCCGGGGCATAGCTCAACTGATGGATCAATCAACATTGGCTTGCTTCCAGTGGCAGGGTGGAGAGTTCGATTTCTGGTGGGAACCTACGGCCAAAATTTTGGTATGGAACACTCACTGTGGAGGAGGGTCTCTTGTGCGCAGAAGTGTACAGTCAATCGGGGGAACTTATGATCCAGTTGAGGTATAACCCGCGATTTACCCCCTCCAAGGTCTAGGGGCATGGGTCTTGGAGGTCCAGGATTTAGTCTGGTGTAAGTTGGGATACCTAGATATTAAAAAAAAAATAATAATAATAATAGATCACAACAAGTCTTGACCAAAAGTCAAGTTCGTTGAACTCGTCACTTTCTTAGTACCTTTTGTTCTTAAATAATGTAGACATGTAATTAGAAAAATATCAATGTTTTGAAAATCGATTCGGCCATCGACTAGAAAAAGGTGAAAGGTGAAGGGTCAAAATGCTCATCCGGAAACGAACCGAGATCGAAGTGAATGCAATAAACAAATAAATACATACATACAAAAATAATAAAAATACTGTGAAAACAATAATTTTATTTCATTTTCATATTAATAATTCAAAGTAAATCTATCTTTGTTAATTAGATTCATTATCCTACAATTAGCCTTGATATTTCGCAAATTAAAAATTAATATGTTAAAATATTTTGCTTTGTTAAATTAAAATAGTTGAAACTTATAGAAAATGATATCTAACATTAATATATTAATAATCAGGTGCAATTTAAATTAATTTTGAATCAAATAAATAAACTGATGAAGGTGGATATTAAAATTTAGTTAGTGGGAATTCACAATCATATTAGTCAATTAGACATGCATTTGGATATTATATATATAAATGTTATTCCACTATTCCACAGTAGAAGTTTATGCAACCATTGAAAAGAAATTCATCTATAAAAGGCATTATCTCACATTGGAAGTTTGTGAAACAATTTGAGAGATGCATTTATAAAAGAAACATACAACCCAATATTTCTCTATGGACATTTGAATTGTAGCTTACGATGCTCATTCATGAAGTTAAAAATTTTAAAACTAAAAGAAAAAGGGGGGAAACCACAAAATTGCAATCAATTAATTGGTTTATTGTTAAATCAAATGGTTCTATAGATTTTTAAGTGATTTTATTATAATCGATTAATCGAGCATGATTGGCCCCTTTTTGGACCATGTTTCCCATTTTACCGATTCATAAAGTTAAAAAAAAATTTAAACTAAAAAAAAAAAGAGAGAGAAAATCACAAAACTGCAACCGGTTCATTGGTTAACGGTTAAGTCGGCCGGTTCAGTAGGCTTTAAGTGGTTTTGTCATAATCGGTTAACCAAGCATGATTGGCACCTTTTGGGCTCTGTTCCCAATTTTACCAGTCGAACTGGCTGTGTCGAACTGATTTTTACAACATTGAAAAATACATGTAAAACTATTAATAAATGAGAATGAATTAGAACACCAAGACAAATTTTGGAGAAAACGAGTAGTTGACAGGTTCGGCTTAAATTAATTGATTGCCTAACCAACTTAAATTGCTATTTTCATAGTTATAAAACCCGGCATGGAGAATCGGTGACCCGAGCCCTTGATCGGGCCGGTTAGAATATTTTCATAAAAATACAATTGACTCGATCAAAATCGAGTTGATTGAGTTAACCGAGCGATTTTAATATTAACTCGACCATTTGACTGGTGTGACCAAGATTTAAAAGTTTATCCGTAAGTTTTTTGCTCTTAAAAGTTTTGAGTTTTAGACCTCTAGGTAAAGTGAGTACCATATAATCATTAGAGATCAATTGTTTATTGTTATATGTTTGCTGTAAATATGAACATGTAAATCATTTATAGTTTGTTAAAAATATTTTTAAAAAATTGTAGTAATTATTTTAATTAAAATGAGTTGAATATTTAACAAAATAATATATAAATAATTAATGACCAATAATTTAATTTTTTTTTATTTTATCTAAAAGAAAAACTTTCAACTTTAAAAAATATTTTATAATTATTAAGCATTGATCCACCGATTTAACCATTAACTCATTGGTTCAATCAGTAACCTGAGACCTGGTGCCTTGACTGGGTTGATGGTCGAGTCGGGTTTAATAATTATGGTTATTTTTTCTTGGCATGTCGGCTTAATTAAGTGGGAAAAATTGGTTATAATTAAACAAATTAAATAAGGGTATATTAGTAAAACGAACAAATTAAAACATTCTCAATACAGAAATGAGACTATATAATTGAAATAAGAAAATAAGAAAAGTCGGTATATATAAATGGAATGGGTGGATAAATAAAATATCTTGAACGTGGAGAACGTGCCTCCCGATTAAAGATGCTGTTGGAAAAAAATAGCATTGTTTGTCCAGATTCAGGTGGGAAGATAAGGAATGCACCACTAAAGGACTGCCACGTACTTTTGAAGGTTTACGGTTTTGTTTGGTAGCTATTAAAATTAGATTTTGATAAAAGTTTTTGATAGGTGTGATTGAAAAGTTGTAGGATCCACGAGATATGTGGTTAAAATTAATTGTTTCACTTTGACTTAAATTAAAATCTTATTAAATCAGTACCAAACAACAATTTTTAAGGTATACTATGTGAATTATTAATGTTTATGAAAAGATTGGAGTGCCGTCAAGAAGAGACAAAATTTCTATGTATTAATAGTAGATCGAAGACTCCCAATCTATCTTCACATCACATACGTTCTCCACTTTTTGGCGCGCGCGCACACACGCGTAGTAAAAATGGAGACACTAAAAATTGCAATTTCGTTGCTGACCATAACCATTTTTACTGTGGCATGGAAGATTTTGAACTGGTTATGGCTTAATCCAAGGAAGAAAGAGAGGTTTCTTAGGAAACAAGGATTCAAAGGGAATCCGTATACTTTCAGAAGGCTTTTGTTTGGAGATGAAAAAGAGAGTGAAAAGGTCTATGAAGAAGCCTTTGCAAAACCTATCAATATGCATGATCCAATTGTCCCTCGTGTTGTGCCCTTCATACATAAAACCCTTGAAAACTACGGTAAGTAAATCAAAAAATATTTCTCTATTGTATTTTTTCGAGAATATTATATTGTTATCTCTTTATAATGAACGAAAAGAAAATTATGATTTGTGCAGGTAACAAATCATTCATGTGGGCCGGACAGAGACCAAAGGTGCTGATAATGGAACCTGAACTGATGAAAACTGTCATGGTTAAACACAGTAACTTCGTTAAGAATTTTAAGGTCACTAATAATATAGTACAAGATCTTATCACTGGAATTATTCGCTATGAATCTGCCGACTGGGCTAAAAGAAGAGGAATTTTGAACCCTGCTTTTCAAATGGAAAAGCTGAAGGTAAATTCTAGCCACGATTGATTCAAGAAACACCTCTCTTCATCTGTAATTAAATAATTATTATTCTTTTTTTTTTTCTATTGATAATGTTAATTCAGTATTTGAAATAATGTTATTAATTTTGTATAATGCAGCAAAAGATACCAGTATATCAAAATTGCTGTAATGATGTTGTGAATGAATGGAAAGAGTTGGCTTCCAAGGATGTTACTGTAGACGTGCTTCCTCATTTCGAAAACTTGATCGCAAGAATTGTTTCTGAATCTTTGTTTGCCACTGATT